GCAACGCAACAAAGAGAATGTGTTTACGGTGTTTTCGTGGGTGAAGTAACTCGTCTATACTTATTTGATTACTTTATCTCTGCTCATTTTTTATCTCATCGTTTAGCAACGGGCAAAAGAAAATGTGTGTTTAATGTTAACATGCAACAGGATTACAAATTTTTCAAATTGCGTAATGACAGTAACAATGAGTGTGCTTATTGCATTATATGTACTGGAAAATTTTTTGTTGCACACAAAGGAAAGAGTGATATTGAAGACAACCAGAAAATAGTTTAACACAGGAGTTTATGAATGCTACTACTTCAGCAAACACAAGAGAATTTTTTTTTACTCAAAATCGGGAATAGCAGTAACAAGGATCTGGAGTGTGTTGCTAAAGAACACATTTAAATAATTTTAATTTACATTTTCACATTTAAATAATTTTAATACTAGCTGAATTGCTTTTTCTAAATTAAAAAATTTATTTTAAGACAAAATATTTATAGTAAAATGAAGATAGATACTTGTAGTACGTAGAAAATCTCAATTAAATTTTTGCAGAATGCTAGATTTCACTTTTATAAAACTGGTATATTTTCATTAAAACTACGAGAGGAATCAATCCTGCATCACGAATATGCACTTTTGCATTCACCTTTTCACTCACTTCTTCATTTACCTAATTCTCCCGAACTGGCCCCATCAAATTACCATCTGTTTCTTGCTATAAAGAATTCACTTTGAAGACATCAACTCAACACAGACACTGAAGCCATTGAGGCGGTCATTCAGTGCCCTGAGACACAGGACAAATCGTTAAATAAGATGACTCTAAACAAATTGTGTTATAGAATGCATTTATACAAATAGTGAATATGTAAAGAAATCACAACGAGAGCTGTAACTTAATACGCCTTTTACTGCGAGGCTCAAAACTTTTCATCCTTTCTTCCTACGATACAGTGTATCAAAATACTGTTCATGACAATAGAAAACTTGATCTAATGAAATTTGATTTCAAAGCTTAATGAAATTACCAGAGTTTGAACAGTTTTTAAGTACACATACTATCAAATGCAAAAGCATTATGTAAGCATTAAACGCTTACTTCTTTATGTGCTAGTCATTTAAATTATTTCTTTCTGTCATTGGAGTCAAGTCTTCGGATTTAAAATTTTAGAGGAAATTTTAGTGTAATCCTCAGATCTAAAATTTTTGGAAAATTTCTAGTGTAATTCTTGGACGCGAAACGTTTTCAAAATCTTTAATATGGTAAATCTATCTTACAATAAGTTTATCTTAATTACAGATAATAAATATATTTATAAGATTATCGTTAATATTATAGCTTTAATATTAATTACAAAGTATAATGAACAATAATACTCGTAAGGACTGAGATAAAATTTGTTTTGTTATGCTCAATCCACCTCACTCCTAAAATTCTTTCCAGCAATCAGAATTCAAGCTCTGACATCATTCCAAATTGTTAATTTTTGATGATTTTGTTTAAATTCTACCAATTTAATCATTTTATTCTTTGAAAGAAGATGGAGTTTTACATTTAAAGGCTAGTAAATACTTCGAAAGAACATTGATATATATTTGTTTACCTATTCCTGCATATTGTTAATGCAATGATGTTCTAAAGAAGTATTTGATTGTAATAATATGTTTGGTAATAATGTGGCTTTCAAATCCCAACCAATTCACAACACATTACAAAGCATATCTGAGAAATTGTTCCGATTCGAAGCATACAGTTTGCTAAAACCGTTAAATTTGAATTTTTCCTGTAAATTAATTTGAGTAGGAAAGTAAACTAACAGAATTTTTATCGTTTTACGAAAGAAAGAAAATGCTAATTTATATGAAGTAATACACGACAAAATTTCGAATCTTCGAACTCGGATAATTCGAAATTTGCATTAAGTTGAAATGAATTTTTTTCATAGACAAATCTTTTTTAAAATTATAGTTTTTTCGATGATTCGAAAATATTTAGCTTCCCTTTTCTCCCAAAAAATTAATTTTTTCCACCATTTTTGAATGATGTTGACTTTATTTGCTATGCTCCCCTCAACGTACAACAAAGTCAGATATTATCAGATTACCAAAGCGTGGGGACAGTGTCTGAAACTTCTTTTGCACGTTTCTTAAATATGTACCCCCCGTTGTGAGTTTTTGAATCATTTGATCATTAGCATTGTTGTAAATTTGCATTTCCTACTTTCCGCGGAGCTGAAAAATAATATCATGAATATTTACTAATTAGGAGAGAGTGGCAGCAATCAAAATGCTTCCTGTTCGTCTCTTGGGTATCTTGAATTCTTGTTCGGTGCTTCAATGCTTTCGGTTCCTAAGCGTTAATTAAGGTGATAATAGCTTTATTCATTCTTATTCTCGTCAATCAGTGCTACTAGAGCATCTCCGATTCTGGAAACTGCATCTTTATTAACAAGAATCAAAGTTCTTGCCAGAGTTCTTATATGAAATAACAAGAATTCTTATACAGAAAGTTCAGGAATTCGGCAGTAAAAATCTTACCTTTATTAATATAATGAAAGACACTAAAAAACGTTTTTTTGTGTGTGTTATGGACAGTCTATCTTAGAATCGATAGCTATCGATAGTCTATCTTAGAATGTGTGTTATCGATAGTGTCTCTATAGAAAGCCTTCTATTTCCATTTAAAATATATGATTTTACGCTACTATCGTATTCTTCAGAAATATTTTCATTATTTGTACTTTCTTATAATATTATCGTCTAATCGCATATATTAACCATGTTTTATTCACGTGATTTACTAAACGTCTCTTAAACCCCAATTTATTTTTCTGGATACTTAAGTTTGACTGTACATACATACTATAAACACCTCTCCATTTATAAATTCGTTGTGAGTAACGATATGTTAATGAAAACTGACTAATTTTGATAACAGTTAGAATATAGTTCAACGTCGAGAGCAAAACTAAAGAAAGGGAGCAAAATTTCGAATAATTCTAAACTTCAGTTACAGACTTTCGGAGATTGCGCTTAAAAATCCTAGGATTCTATACAAATACCTATAGAATTAGCCTAAAAGAAGCAGATATATTAAATGCTTATAAATTTAAAACTGCCTAAAAGCCTTTTAAACTGTTTTTTAATTTAATTTTTTCCCAGAAAACCTTTAGTACCGTCGTATAAATAATGTACTCAAGTTAATGACCACTTCCTTCCCTTGTTTTCGCGAGGTCAGCGACACGTGACTGCTACTGACGTCAGTCGAGCATTATATACATTAATCAGACAGAAAAAAAATTGTGTACTTGAATATACAATGAGAAATTTTGATCATGTGCTACAGCGTCGTTTAGATCACGGTACGAGCCGAAATATGCTCTCAATGCTGTACTGACAGTTCAACAGGCTCTGGTATGTTGATCATCAAGAAATCCGGATTTAACACTGTGTGATTGGTTTTTATCAGATAAATCAAGAGACTCAGTTTTTGTTCACAGTATCTGTTGCGATTATTGACATGGAAGTGCTGAGAAGTGTTTAACAGAATTTGACTATCGCGTTGATGCATATAGTGTTACAAAAGAGTCACATATTTAATAATTTAACTCCATAATCTTCAGGAGATATACTTCTAATGCTATAAGTATTTCAGTAGCGGTATTAAAAATTTTGTTTCTGTGAAATTTTGAATGTACCTATTTCTTTTAGGCTAACCTATATATTCAAAAGTGAGATAGAAATTATTGCATACATAAGTAATAACGTGATAATAATTATTTGATACATAAAAATACTGAAGAATAATTAAAACGATAAAATACATATTTCTCATGTCATAATTATAATAGAAAAATATTGTGTATAGTGGCTACTAGCACACATCCTAGATGTTTTCGTTGTGTGAATTTTTTAAATAATGACACGCTTTTGATTTCTTAAAGTATATTAAATCAATTAAAATACAAAGTAAAACCGTAAAATATTAAAAGGTTGAATATTTTTATTCCATTTAAATATGCAGATTTCATTTAAAAAATAAAATATAATTTTCGAACTCTCAACATCAAGAATGCATTTGTTTCTTGAAGAGATTCGTATGAATCGGAAAATAACGAAAGTGCAAATTACTTCGCAGTTCACGTTTTCACAACTATGCGCGTCATGCGTACAACCTATGGACACATGATTCCAATAATTTGTTATGTAGCTTTTCTTAAAAAATACAAAACTTTAAGAAATAATTTGTAGCAAAACGCTAAATCAGATTTCCTTCAGTATCGTTAGAGGTTAGAGAACATTCTTGATGAAAAACTATGTTCTTGATATTATTTCAAAAGCTTTCAATATCTCCGTTGAGTTATTGGGATTGGAGGAAAAAATTGTTGCAATCTTATAAATAGTATCGGTATGGTAACTTGATTGCTGAGCTTGGAAAAGTACATAGAGATTTCAAGCACAGTTAAAATTCAAACAAACTGAACAAAATGTTCAAAATGTTTGTAAATTGAAACAAACTAAACAAAATGCTCAAAATCTTTGAAAATTCTAATAAACTAAACAGACTAAATTCAGCTTTTACTATTTCTGACTCTGAATGATGTAAGTAAAAGCTTTGATTTTAATGCTCGTTTTTCCGCTTATAGTTGAAATGTCTATGCTATGTAATGAACTGATATTTGGGGCAGAGTTTTGTTGTTCCCTTTTTCAGTATAAGAAGTTAACAATGTTCAGTCCTAAAGAATTTCTGCGATTGTGACTGATTTTTGATTTCTAATATGAGAATCGCAACAGAACACATGCAGTTCATAAAGGCATCTGAAAGTAATTAAAATTATACAAGAGTTAATATGAATATTAAAGTAAGAAACGTACTTCATTATAATTTACTGACATCAACTATTCCAATTTTTTAAGATAATTGCTTATAGTTTACTCGCCGTAATGTATGGTTTATTGGCTTTAGTAGATGGAAATAGCTAAAACCATTTGTATTAAATACTTACGTGGTATAATGTAAGGATCTCTGTTCTTGTCTTTATTTCCAGGAGTAATTGCAGTTAAGCATTTTTGTTGAAAGAAAGGAGGATCTAAACTCCTCAGTTTCTGAAATGCATAAAAACAGGATAAATAAACTATTAAGAAAATTATTCCAAAAGAGAATTGCAAAAGATAAATGAAATAATCAAAAGAGAATCTGAAAAAGATTTTTCAAATGATTGCACGCCTAAATATCTCTTCAGCAGATAATCACAGACCTATTAGTTCCATTTAAGAAATTAATCAGCCAAGTAATTTAGACAGCATAGTACCTAAGAAAAACTTACAAGTTTTTATTAAATAAATATTTTACTTTTTATTTAATAAAAACTTTTAAGGCAACACAAGTTTTGGCAACTTTTTAATGCGCTGTTTGGATTATTCCAATTAAGAAATCGTTCACATGTAGTCAAACTGAGCACTAAGACAGGTGAACTCCTTAATTCGATACGGCTTTATTAATATTCTTCATCGTTCTGTAGTTAAAATTTCGATCTTTTATCACATTTACAATATTATCTATTGAAATGATCTAGCTGTTAAAGAAAAAGAGTTTTAATCATACAAAAATTTATTATGTAACTATTAGAAAAAGAGAAAATGAATTTTTTTCTTTTTTATATCGGATCACTGTCCGGCGAAAATTGCCCTTTTTCAATCCCAGGGTGCAGAGTTTATATAGAGAGTTCGGGGATGATACAGAATCTTGGTGTAAAATTTGACACCTCTGAATCATATCTTATCCAAAGAATGTTTTTACCTCAAGTTCATATTATGCAAAACATCCTAAAAACATTTCTAGGAAATAATTTTTACTTCTTAAAAAGACAATTTTCAGAGTACGTATGAAAGTTAATCATTTTAAGTAAGATATTTAGAATTTTAGATGGAGAGGTAACCTATGAGAATTAGAAACTATTATTTTATATTGATGTTTTGTAGAAATGTGCATTAAAAAATTCATGTTAACAATGTTTGTATACAAACTTCTAAAATTTTAAATAACAATAGGTCAGTTAACTTCTGTGATTATTAGACACGAGTTAAACACCTTGAAGGCAAACACTTTGAGGCGTTGATTGTTCTCAGTTAGTCGAATGCATGTTCTGGCAAAATAAAAAGCACTGCTACTTGAGGTAAGTAATCGTAACAAGTCTTGAGCGCAGGTGATCGATTGGAATTTCTTTATTAATTTATTCACAAATGTGCACAGATCCTCAAGCCGCATTAATTTATGATCATATAATATTACAGCAACTTTTTCCTATGATTCTGCTTTGCCATTCAGAGTCTCTCATTTTAAATATAAGGTGTTCTAATACGATGTTAATTCTATATCTTTACTTTCTGGGAGGTCAATTATTAAATTTGTGCGATTATCATATTTGCTTACTCTACCATTGCAGGAACTGAAATCAGCTCAAATTGATCAATCTTTAGTATTCTTTTAATCTTATAAAATTTATACATTTTTAAATTAAAGAGTCTTTTTTATCTTTTTAAAATTTTAATAGTGGAAGTTTCGAGGTATCAGAACGTAATCCGAAGTTTTCAGAGAAAAATTAAAAAGTACATATAATTTTAGGATGAGAACAAGTTCGGTTATATATTGCATAAATAAATTCACTTTTTCACAGAGCTATGCTTTTGAAATACCTTGTATATTGATAGAATAACGTGAGTGAAGATTAACGTTTTAAGCAGCAGTTGCTAGACATGGATGGAATAATATTCAATAGACTATAGTAAATTAAATTAGCATGCTTCTAAATTACATTTCCAAAAGCGCAAATCATACGGCTGAACAATTTGGGGATTTTTAAAAGCACACTTTAGTTATTTCAATATAATTCACTTGAACCATAAACTTCCAGTGTTCTTCTATTGCAACAGTTGAAATCAATTTAATTAGTAATTATTGGAGCGCATTTCTAAGACATAACTAATTTTTCAATATTTTTATATTCAACAATTTTTATTATAAATATCATTGTTATGCTTATAGTTTCGTTTAGTTTTTATTTAGCACTTAAATGACTACCTACGTCAGAAATTCTTGAGAAGAACAGATACTTGTTTCTGTCCTATTCCTAAGTTATAATGTTATTCTTTAATTCAAATATCGTGAAAGTCAAGTAGACGACTTACATTTGATATTAAGAAGCAAGTTTTTCTAATATAAAAATGTTTAGAAACGAAAGGAGTCTTAGAATCAATGACGTTTTAGAATCACTCTGTATTTTCCTGAATTTTTTCGCTCTTCAATCAATCAAGGTTTCGTTTTTATGCATTTTCCACGCTTAAAAGCATTCTGTTACTAACGTTTCCTTCAAGATAAGTTGTATTATTACGAAATAATAGAAATTAAGACGACTCCGAAGGCCTCAAACTCTGATTAGGGTTAAAATGTTAATTGTTTAGAATTTTAATTGTTTATATTCTAATTGTTTAGAAGAAAGTGATGATGAATAAGAAAAAAATGTGGAATAATATTTCTAATGATGAATATCTAAACCAAATTTCCTGTTGTCACTAAATTCAAATTCCGTCGAACAAAATCATCATTAGATGTGTTACCACTCTAATTTGATTTCTTTGAATTCTTAAAATTAAAATTGTTTCTTTAATTTTCTTTTCTTTCTTAATTAATTTTCTTTTGTTGATAGTGCTGAATTTAAGGAGTTCTCCTTATATCGATGGCATCTTACGGTTGATGAAATACAACATATTTTTTATTTGAAAATTATGTTAATTATTAGCACAATCGCCACCCAGATGGGGTAATGGTTAGTGACTCTGACTGTCTTACCGAACGGTTCCGATTCGAATCCCGGAGAAGGCATGGATGTTTGTAAATGTACGTGTCTTTGTGGCATAGAAGAACTCTAAACGCAAGTGCTCTCGTGTGATGGTAGAAGAGTGTGGTGGGAGACTCTTGAACCCCCTTCCGAGGTGCTTTCGTTCAAAATTGGAGTGTAAAATGTCTATTTTCGTACCCAATTTTGAACCCAGCCTCTTTAAGGCTCTAAAGGGATTTGAAAACAACAATTAACACAATCAATGGATTACAGATGAGGCACTTTCTAAATATTTTAACGAATTTATTTCCTAAAAATATATCCCGAATTTAGTTTAATGTTAATCCCTCATAATTCAATATAATATTATCAAATAAAATTTGCGGATTTAAAGAGCTTCATTTGAAATAACATGCCCATTTCACATTAAATTTAATCAATAAATTGTTTACAATATGCATTTCCCCTCAAAAATGTTTTTGTAAATTTTCCATATTTTTTATTAATTTTGCATTCAAAAGACATTAAAAAAATTCTGACATTAAATTTTTAAATACCAAAGAAAAGAATAAGACATATTTTAATGTATTGCAAAAAGGAAAAATTATGCCTATTGAATATTGAATTAAAATTAAAACACATTTCTCGATACAATGTTCTTACAAAAATCCAAATTTTGAAACTGTTAAAAATTTAATTAACATATCATTTAATTGGCAATATAAAAATTAGTTTGAAACAAACCGTAAATTGAAGCTCTAAGCCTGTTTTCTTCGTTTCTGCATCAGTTTGCCGTAACTTGTTGAAATACAAAACCATTTCATTTGCAGGTTTGCATGAAATGTCACCAAAATGATACTCCACCAATCCCTTATACACAAAAGTATATTGCTCCTATTAAAATATAGATAAATTCTGCCATTAAAATGCTATTTTGCAAAAGGTACTTCTTAACTTCAAAATAAATTCAAAACTAAAACTTTTCATTTATGAACTAATATGAAACTAATTCATTTATGAATCACCCAAAATTCAAAATCGAGTAGCTATAAAACTATTTTTACTCTTCTAATTACTTTAAAGGATATGAGAATGTGTAAAGTTTCATGCTTATTAATCTATTATCTTATTAGTTTTATCTTTACTGTCTCTTCTACATTCGTCGGAACCAGGAAGTAAATTAGTTAATATATATAAGAACAGAGTTCTTGAAGTTAGGGAGAGTTTTGGGCAGCAACCACTGACCTTCGATGTATTTTCGCCCATTTCTTAAGTGTTATCCTGAATCGGCTTTAGCTTTTTACTAGCTATGTTTCCTCGTGTGTTTAGAGGGTCTAAGCTGAAGTATATAATAGGACTTTGCCGTGTCAACTGCAAAATTTTAAGTACTTAAAGTTTGCTTTCTGTGAGATCTCGCGAACAACGGTGACTCATTCTGTATTACACGAGCTATAGAGTCTGATTAGTTCAAGTTATAATTAAAAGGTTTACTTTAAACCTTTATCTGAATTTTTTAGTTAATCCTCTGGAAATCTAGGGCGGGTGATAAGTCACCTGTGCGTCTACTATGGAACCAAATTCTAGTTTAGAGATACCCTGGTTTCGTAGCAAATACACTCATGTCCATAAATTAAGGATAATGCAAAATCAGGCAAAGAAAGTGTTAGAAGCAAAACAAATTGGACTTATTTGTAAAGCTTATTTATTAAACAAAAGGTAAAAAGCAATAAAAGATGCTATATGTTTGATATTATTAAAAAAATTAGCGATTTTTCTCCCTGGAGCAAATTACCAAAAAAAAAAAAAAAAAAAAAACTATTTACAAAAAACCAATATTACATGGTTGGTATGATTGTTAATACATTGTATGTCTCCCAGACGATGCAATACAGTCCGTACAACGGCTAGGCATGCTGAGTATCAAATTATCGATCTAATCTTGGGGGATATTACACCACTCAAAAAGCAATGCTCTCCGAAGTTCCGGTAGACATGTAGAAGGAGGTTGACGGGCTGCAACTCGTCGACCAAGCATGTCCCACACGTGTTCTACTGGATTCAAGTCCGGTGAGAATGCTGGCCAGTCCATACGAGTGATATCCTCCGATTGAAAGCATTCGCTAACGATGTTTGCACGGTGAGGACGGGTGTTGTCATCTATAAACACAAATTGTGCGCCCATGGCGCCCCGAAACAAACGTACATGTTGTCCCAGAATGACGTCGCGATAGATTTGGCTTGTCATGGTTCCAATTTGAACATGAAGATTAGTTCTGGAACCCAGAATAATTCCACCCCAAACGAGCACTCCTGCACCACCGTAACGGTGTCGTTCAATGATGTTTTCTTGGTGGTAACGGGTACCTGGAGCTCTCCATATGAAAGTCCGGCGAGAATCAGACTGCAAGCTAAACCTGGACTCGTCGGAAAACATCACACAAGCCCACTGTTGCGGTGTCCACAATGCATGCTCTCTACTCCAGGCTAACCGCAGGCGACAGTGAGTTGCAGTAAGTGGAACGCATCTGACAGGTCTACGAGCATATAGACCAATCTGCCCTAAGCGTCTGTACACGGTCTGCCTTGAAATTGTCGTACCAGTGGCTGAAGAGAGCTGACGAGACAGGTCTGAGGCTGTGCTCCGCCTGTTTCTTTTGGCAGTAACTGCCAAATACCGGTCCTCATTCGGCATTGTAACTCTGGGGCGACCTGTGCTGTAACGTCTACTCACATTACCATCATCTTGGAATCGTTGCCAAAGCCTGGAGATGACACTCTGGGCAATTCCAAGTTCGTCTGATACTTCCAGTTGGGTACGCCCACATTCCAGACGGCCGATAATTCTACCACGTAAAAAATCATCCAAATGCGTCCTTTGTGTCATAACTATTCGGTTATTGCACTGAAATGCTTATAAAGCGCCTGCGAACAATTTTACTTCTTTGCCTGTATTCCTTATATATCACTCTCTTACACTCTCGTCATTGTGACGTACCATCGGTGTCATCTGCTTACTTCCTGAAATTTGCATATGATTCTTGAAGATGTGTGTAGTGATTTACAGGTGATATATTTATTTTAGAGTTCGATTTTCGCGTGACTCCAAATCATTCTTAATTTATGGACATGAATGTAAGTTGCGGTTTTCATGAAACCTACTTGAAATATATATTACACGAAAATGGAGTAAAAGGTCTTTCATTTAATTCAGTTAATTAAAAAGATTGTGAATAAATTGGTAATTTCAGTATGTGACCCATTTACAGCACGAAAGAACATAATATAGGCATTCATTTTCGCTTTATACTTTAGCAAGAATGTCTGGTGTAATGTTAGCAAGTCCATATATTATTAAAAGTGGTCATAACTACCAGTTCTTTCATAACAAATATTAATTTTAACACAGCCTCAGAAGCAAAAGTCTAGTAGTAAAGGTGAGGACATCTTCTTAAGCTAAAGAACGCGTCTCTTACTGCAATCTGCCGTTCTGGAAACCAGGATTTATTGTGCATCAGCTGAAGTACCTGGTGTAGCCTGGGCTTTAATCAGAGCGAAAAGGCTTCATTTAGGGGAATGGGGATTGTTTTATTTTATTTTATTTTTTTTTTTTTCGAAATCCTGTTTTGAAATATTCGTGAAAGACTAATAGAAAGCGTATTTAAATTCCGCTTTAAAGGTTCTATCCCATCCTGGGAAGTTGTTTAAAAAAGGGGACAAACATGGCGCCATCTAACCAATTTAGTGAAAACTCATAGTGGCAGTAACTGAGATGGGTGATGTGATTTCGGAATTGAAACTTCACAGAAATATTAATAGTTATTTTATTTATTTATTTATTTTGTGAAAAACAATTATATATTCCTTGGTTAGCACGTATTCTACTTAAAGCGAAAGCTCAACAAAAGTGATATAAACCTAATAAGATGAGTGATGTATACGCAAGTCGGGTTTCGTGAGCGCAACGTTTTAATATAAACCCTGCGGGATGATTTTTCAAAATCTAATGTCGACTGTGACCTTCCTTTTGTTTTGAAGGTCAAGTGAACAAAATTTCATCAAGTTTGGTATAAAATTGTAGATTTGTATGAATGACATACACATATACAAGCAAACGGACATATAGATGATTTTAAGGAATCGAGCTAGTGTAATTTCAGGGGACTATCTAGTATTTATTGACAACAGAAATGAATCTGCATTTATTACTTTTCAGTCGATTAGTTTCTTAATTATAAACAGAATCAATATGAAAGAAAATTTAAATATTTTACGCTTTGCTGAAAGACAGCGCATTACCGCAGTGGAGGATAAAAATATTTTAGTTCGAGAAGCGGTAACACATTTCTGTTATGTATACCTGAGTTTTCTTATTAAATTTGAAACGTAAATATGTTATATTTTGTAGTGGCAACCAAATTTTTAAATCACCATGTTTTTAATCAAAAAGTCGTTAAATTCGTGTAATATCTGTGTGCATAAAGAATGAGAACCTCTTATGGTGGTTTTTGATAGATCATATATAGACAGTGACCTTCCTCTTGTTTTAAATGTCAAGCAAAATTTCATCAGGATCGGAATAAAACTGTACAGTTGTATGAATTACAAGCACTCGGACACTATTCTTTATTTATATAGATTGGCGCTTCTTGTGCACATTAATGCACATGCAAATTTTGTTTCTCATTTTCATCTGAATTCAGTAAAGACACAAATAATACATTTCACATAATACAGACTTTACAGCGACCTCATTAAACCCCACCATTCTTTTAGAAAATCCTGTATTGTCAAAAATCGATTTTTTTTTAGTACGAACAGAACTTCTTGCCAATAATTAAGTTTCTATCGGCAAATTTAAGTGTTTCTAAATTACTATAAAGTTGGAAAGGCAGAAAAATGCATTATTAAAGCTGTCATAAATAAATTATTATGTCTGTCTGCACGCACACGTACTGCACATGTAGAAGTAAATAGATAGAATAGTAAATATGTGTGCTTGAAGAAAGAGATAAAGATTGGTTTAAAATATTTTTATTTTTAACGTATTTGTAGATAAATCATATATACTGTATCGAAATGAAGAAATACATGCATATTTCATGCTCTACCAAATAACATTGTTAAACCATAATAATTTTCATTATAAATTCAGTTTTTTACGCTTATTACCTTATAAAAGAGCAAAAGCAATTAATGTACAATTTCAATTCCTTGAAAAATTAATGTGATCTTCCCGATCGCCTATTTGTATACCGTCTATTACATACAAACTTACGTATAGTACATCTTAACTATTGTTTTTAAGCACTCATCAACACCCTTTACCATCCGCATTAATAGACAGAAATTGTTATCTAACTTACTACAGTCTCAATGAGATTCACTCTTTGCTGTCTCATTCTGTACAGTAGTCCTAACACGTCTACTTTTCCTTCAGCCAAAGACATTTCCAGGGCCGAATCTAATAACATAACTGTACCAGTTCGTCCAATACCAGCACTGCGTAAAGAAATAAAAAAAAAAAAAAAAAAAAAAAAGTGATGTACCAAGTAACAAATTTCATAGTATTTTAAAAAGCAATCAAATACTGAAAACAAATGACATGTGATAACTAAGTGAACGCTAATTTCAAAAAAATAATTACACTTCAGTGCAAGATAAAAATTACAAAGGAGTGCCTAAAGGGTTTCAAGAAAAAAATTGCATGCGATAGTAATCGTCTCGCTTGGTTTGTTGCTTCTGCCACGCTGAATTAGTTATATATTTAATGTGCATTACCTATAAAAATTAAACTCCATTTTCTCCTCCTTATTAAATCTTAGTTTATATTTTCTTTCTTATCACAACTTCAGTCGGGTTTGCGATTCAATTCAGAAATTAAAAAAATTCGAAAATATTTAAATTCTGTGCTAGACAAAAGGAAGTGAGGGAACAAAAGGAATGGACACTTAACTTTTTTCTTTGCTTTCTTTCGTTTAAATTGCTGCTGCACTATTGAAACTACAACTTGAAATTGCAATTCCAGTTCCTGAATTGCAACTAGAACTACAGCATCAAAACTCAAACTTGAAACTGTAACTGTAATGCCTGAATTGTAATTGAAACTTCACTATGTAACTTCTCCTGCTGACAGAATTTAGAAGTCCTGTAGTTTGAAATGGTTTGCCTTAAAATAAGTAATAATAATTAAAGTATATTAATTAGAGTGTAAGTTATGGGAAAACAAAATACTCCCGGCCCCATTATTGATTATTATTAACACTGTTATTTTTATTACATGTGTATGTATTAAAGTATATTAATTAGAGTGTAAGTTATGGGAAAACAAAATACTCCCGGCCCCATTATTGATTATTATTAACACTGTTATTTTTATTACATGTGTATGATAAATACTCAGAATGGCTTTGCATGCTTGATTGTTCTCAATGTGCAATGTTTCTATTCTCGTATTTTAGTTTGAACGAACGAAATTCCAAAATAAATTTAGTTTCTTTGCTCATAATTTATGTGCTTACTTAAATGTTAATCTGATGCAATAATCCACTGACAGCAATCTTAAATATCATGCAAAAGAGAGAGAGTCACCTGATTCTTCATATGGTTAATCAAATATTATACAAAAACTAGAAATTCTTAACAAGTTTTAATGAAGTTTAACCAAAAAAAAAAAATATCCTGAACCTAAACGTTCTCTAATATATTTTAACATCCTCGTTGAATCTATACAAGCAGACTGAACTGGATAATTGGATTGAATCAAAATACATGTGATATTTGCAAGTCAATTTAAATATGTTTGCTTCGCATAATAATCATAAATGGCAGTTATTGATTTTGCATTTAGTGCAAAATCAATAACTATTAATTAGATAGGAGGGATTCAAAGAATATTTTGCTCCAGTTGTTCAATGCCTAAAACCTATAACCCTTCCAAGTTTTGCACCAAAATTACAGACCTATGAATTAACCAACTGTAGAACACTTTGATAGTCTTAAGTAACAAAACAAAATTGATTTTGAATTATCACTTGGATATTCATAAAATGTTCTGCATCAATCTTTCATTAGTTTCAATTCACACATTTAGCTCAAAAGAACGCTATTAAAAAGTAACCTTCTAAGAATAAACAAAATTAACCCAAAGCATTAGAATTCTATGCCTTGAACTAAAATAAATAGATACTCCTTAATTTTCATGAACTCTCAGCATTTAATTTCTTACCTGCAATGGAGCACCCAGGGCGTTTTTTTAAGCTGGCTTTCTTGAAAACTTTTTATATTTTTCAGCATATAAATAACAGATAAAGGATAGGCGGGAACACCGTGATCGGGCCATGCAGTGTATTGGTACTGCCGAACTACACGATGGCCTGAAACCCCAACCTGAAATAGCAAAGTAAATGTATTTTTGTATTAGTATGGAAAAATCATTGAAAAGATGCCAATCTACAAGGTAAGCCTTAATCAGAACATTTATTTAAAAAAATGTGTTTGGGGGAATTTGTTACTTTTAATAACATAGTTTACAGAAACGCACAGAATTATGGATTTTAAAAAATAATTTTGTAATGCAAATTTTTCAGTTAAAACAGTGCTGAACAGATGTTTTGTAGCAGAGCACAAAATACCTCACAAAAGATAGTGAAATTCTCAGTCATTATTATTGAATACAACAGGGTGGGACGTTTAGGACAACATGAAGAGGTACTTCTGTAAGGACTACTGACGTATGCATTCACTGTCGTCGATTTCTAGTAACTCTATAAACAAAAATCGCAGGGTTTCAAGTTTGGAGACAGAGATGTATATTCATGCTGAAAGTTACTCAATTCTCTGCAAGCACTGAGAATAAGAATTAAGTTTGAAATGGATAAAACTGTGGTAAGTCCCATCCCACATCAATATTACAAAATTCAGATCATGCCTCCTTTATAGGCTGGGAATGATGCTGTTTCATAATAAGTTAGTGTAACTCAGAATAACACTAACAGTTTAAAAACAGAACTATGTGATTTCAAGGAATAACATCGTCAAGTAGATATGACTACAATCAATAATTGTGCAACCAAATTCTGTTATAATATCCATAGGTAATGTAATGTATTGCTGCGTTAACTATTTTACTGCGTTAACTATTATTGTAAATTCCTCAATTACACAACTTTCAAATATTTACTGAATTTTGGATTTGCTATCAGCCTCTACTATTTTTGCATAATTAGTTACTGAAATTTGAACCAACAGAAAGAAGATTCAATCAACAGTTAATAATTATTTTATGATAAAGAGGTAAAGTGTTTTCAAAGTTTAAATAAATACAAAATAATATGGTAAACATATTGAAAAAATGAATGATTTATTCTTGTGCATACACAAAGTGCATTTCTTTAAAAATTTAATAAAATGTAAGGATTTATTGAAATAATAATATTAAGTTCGCAAAGATTTTGACGACATTCTTAGAGGAACCAAGTGAAAATAGGTTTCATAAGAATTTTGACAGCATTCTTAGCTGAACTTCATTAGATGCAAAGTATATGATAAGAAGACCAGAGCAATAAAGTCATTTCTTTGATGATATTATACCATAGTCCATCATGATTGCAGAATAGTAATTGCAGAATCCCTCGAGCCTCGAAACTATTGGAAGTTTTCAGAAGTTCACCAAACTCAACGATACTTTTGCTAAACTATGCAATGTCTTATCGTTAAACTCCTTAGTTATAAAATGCTATCGTTTTGGTACTTAACGTTGTATACATGCAAACGTATTTTTAAACTATTTATACAAATTTTAGATAATATCATAAATCACATCATCACAGATTTTTCGTTATTACCAACTTCCCTCTAAAGTTCAAAAACTAAATTTCATTCCGTAAATAGAAAACGTCTTTCTTACTTTCACCAGCTTGAAGTTCCGAACTGTGTAATCAAGGAAAACTTTTTCATTCTGTAGCGTTATGATGATATCAGCAGCTTTTAAAACCTTGTCTGGCCAGTATTTCTCACACTTTTTCTGCAATAAAAAAATCTATAATGAACTAAAATGTAGCATAATAAAATATATGAAAGGAATTATCTAATGAACAAGCAATACTGTTACAGAACTAATGTAATTACATCCGAAATTACGAGAGAACAAATTATCGTAAACTTTTCTATGTAATGGAAACATTAAAATAACTTTCAACTTTCAGGAGACTATTACACAGTATTTAACTGGCAAATTAATAATATTAACTATAACTGATCAATTTGCATATTTAATCAATTAAAAATAATTGTCAGCAGTTTTCGTAAGAATTTTTACTTAAAAGGTTGTAATGTAGAGCCATCCAGTTTTTTAATTGGTGATATGGCTACGAACAAAAAGTCAGAGAAATATTACAGATTACTTGGCAAAATATTGAGTCAAAAATTATTGTAAGTGACTTCAAAACCTATGAGTCTGCATTTTCTGTTGAATTAGCGTTGTACAATAGATGGGTTGCTCCAAATGTCACAATATAATTAGTTATCATGTGCTTACTGCTAAAAAGACTGTGCAGGTAAATTAAATCGTAGTATTAAGTCAAATGCCCACGACTTGACGAGTTTAAAAAGTATATTTATCTAATACAAAAACATGCCTATGTAGGTCAAAAACGAAAATAAAAGACAATTAGAGGGTACAGGCAGTGGATTATGCGCACTGATTTGCGAAATTCCAGTCAGATCATATTATTACACTGAAATACGATCTCTTGAAGTCATCTTCTTTTACTCGTTGAACGTGTTTATTTGACAAACATTACTACATTAGAGACACAGGAATATTATCTAAGGGGGCATAAAGGTTCATCATGTACATTATGTCTCAATATTATCATTATATCAATTATCGTTAAACTGAAAACTCTCAATTGTTAACGAATGTTAATTCATGAACACACTAATCGAACAATTCAAGGTGAATCTCCTTGATGATTGCTTTTCTTGCCTAATAGAACATGAAGGAACAAATCTACAAGTTGTCATAGCTAATAAAATAATGGTTCCTTTGCAAAAATCGTCAATATCAGACTCGACATCTGGATATGCATTATACGGTAGTCAATATAGCACACACACAAAAAAAATGTTTTAAGGCATGATGATCCTATAAGGTATTTCTCCCACTTCCCTAGCGTGCCTTCGTGGTGTAACAGTAACACGCTGGCCCGATATTCCAGAGGTCCGTGGTTCGATTCCCGGCGAAGGCGGTTGCATGTTATTCATCTTGCCTGCTTCCAAAAAATCCTGATGTCTCTACAATCATTTAAGGTATGGTCTTGATCAGTTTTTCATCGACGTGGACGCGCTAATAATACAATAAAATAACGATTCTATGAAGCTAATAAAATAAATTCACAATAAAAGACCCCAAAAATAAGTACACTTCTGAACAGACAAGCTGTTGTGTTGTTTTAAAAGAATACTTGTTCGCTTGTCTGATGAAAAACTGAAGATGTTAGCTAGAATTTAACCACTTAGAAATAAAGCTCTTTCGTACTATGTCCTCGTTTCTGAGTTTTCATTATCTTGCTCTCATTTCTGTCCGAAGCAACGTTCAATAGCAATTTTGATTTTTCTCAAGCATCTTTAGTCTTTCGAGAGTAGCGATTTTTTTCGATAGAAAGAAATGGGATCATAACAGATTAATGCAAGTAAATGTAGAGATGGTTGATGTCAACACATTTTATTGATTAATTGTTCTTCCTCTTCCCTCTCCCTCGTGTTCCCCGAAAGCCACAGTTCGACCATTTTACGTACAAGAAATTTATAATTTATGAGTTCCATTAACTCCCTTAGCGATTTGCTTCGATATCCTACTGAAGCAAAAATTTTGCAAATGCTCATTTTAATTAATATTCTACAAAATTATTCTTTAATGTATTCCATTGTTTCAGCATCCAAGGAATGTACATTTATAAGTTGATTATATATAATAGCAAAAATTATCCTGCGATGTACATTAATTCAATATGAATTACATTTTCGTTTACAAAATTAATTAGAGTAATCTCGGGAAAATCAATTTAGGCATAATAAAATTAAAATGGCAAATTATGATTATGTAATTGGAATTTAATTATTATTAAGCATATTTTATTTCATAAAATGGCAAAATTTTTATTTATCTTCGATTTTTTTAATAAACGTTCTATTTGACAATTATCATAGAAGAGATATTTGTTTGTGCTGCGAACATTAATAATTCAAAAATGTATTTTGTTATGTATTTAAAAATATATTTATGCATCCCTCTCAACTATACGTTTTCGCTCTTAAGCGAAGTTAAAGAATATTTGGTTTCCAGACCTCTCGCTTTAACTTTTCCTTTTATTCCTCCACACCTCCGGTGAGATACAAAAAAAAAAAAAAAATTCATTAGCTTTACGAGAAAAAAATAGTCACCCCATTTGCATCACTTTTATACACGATGATCTTTTATTCTCTCTTTAGAGATTTTCAAGAAGGTTTTAATGCTTCTATTTTTGCCAGTTATTTTTAAATTCTTTCATAAATGACATTTAATTTCTTCTCCATTTGTTTTCCTTTATACATAAGCTAAATATTCACTGAACATTTCAAATGTAAAAACCTTTAACATAAACAAGTACACGTTCTATGAAATGTTCGCTATCAGGGTTTTAACTTAGACCTCATCCTTTACAAATGACTGATAGTTTTGCGGTACAATAGCTCCAGTTTCTTTTTTAATGGACTTAATCACAATGCATATTTAAAAAGGAAACTACAGCAAATACTTTTGCTTTTAGTACATTATTTATTTACACTTCCTTAGCTTTCAATATTTCTTTTTTAATTTTGTACAAAATATGCACTACTCTATATTATAAATGAGTCACGGACGTGAGCTTTAAGAAAATTTATGTATAATAATTAAGGGAAATATTCTGTAAAAATAATAAGCATGCAAAGCGAAATTATAACAATATGAGCAATCAGTTTCTATGCAGTCTTAAGTACTCCAGAGTTATAGTGAAAATCGTTAAACTTGATTATACACAGCGTCTGTAGAATTCTTTATCCGGTCTCTATTTTCGCAACCTTTGGTCTCTGACATATATTTCCAGACGCAAATATTTACGTTTCGGCATTTTTAATTTTTACGAATCAATTTTATAAAAATTACGAAATCTAACTTTTTATATAGTAATTCTGCAGTCGCTGCACTTAGAAAGTTTTATTCTCATTTTAAAAAAATGCAAAAGTACGAATCCCGTATAGAAAAATTGACTGAGATATTTAATTAAAAAATTTACGTTTTCTGATGTCTGTTTCAATCTGCATTAAGCGGTCAGTTAATATACAAATCGGAGTAATTCGAAGTTGACTTTTCCTATGATTTGCTTAAGTCGCTGAACACTGGTAGCTCGGTCCGAGGTACGAATCCCGCGAACGGGCTGGCTGCATGGGTGTTTTCGTGGTTTTTCCCATGTGTAACGTGTATAAGAGCCAGTTTCCCTTAGAAAGTCCTCCACGAAGGCATCCCTACCCTTAGGCAGATAGCCCTAGTGTGGGCCATAATTAAATACACCAAACCAATTGACAATGAGCATTGCAACTGACCTTTGACCTATGATTGACTTTTGACCAACTGACCTTTGACCTTTGACCTATGATTTGCTAGTGTCTTTAATTCATAATTCTGTTACATTTTAGTATGCCAACAGAAATTTCTTACAAATATTTTCAGAAAATTTAATTATTTTCGAATCATAATCTGGCAATTATGCAAAAATTAATTTAACTACATTTTTAATTAATGCAAGCAATATTACGTGTTACCTACGTGTCAACAGCCAGTGCTTTCTAAAATGAATTTTACAAAATTCTTGGAATAAGATCTCCATTTTGGAAAAATTTATATTGATTAATGCTTTTCCTAATAAGCTGAATAAAGGAATTCGTATCTCTTAGTATAAGAAACCTTTTCCTAACTCGATATTTTATTTTGAGTTATGTATAAACCCAAACATTTCTTTCTTCAATTTGTATCCGGCTTTTGAATATATCTTTCAATTTATTATCAAATATCTCGGTCAATTTTTGTCGTACGAGGGTCACACTTTTTGTGTTTTATTTTTTTGTAACGAGTACAAAAGTTTCCTATACTTAAGTATGGGGATCGGATCCGTATTAAAAATTAGATTTCGTAATTTTTATGAAATTGGTGTCTTCAAATTTTAAAATACCGAAACATGAATTTTTGTATCACTTAAAATAGTTTTATAGCTTAAAATAAAGTCTACGGCCAACGGTTTCGAAAATAAAGATCCGATAAGGACTTATGTTGACCCAGTGCATAATTGGTTAAATGGAAACAATTTCAGCTGATCAGCAAACATATCTTCTTAAATATTTATTAAAAGGTGAGGTTCTATGATTTTTTGAAGTTCTGGTGGGTTGGAAGCATATATTTAGTTTCAATGAAATGGTGATTTATTTCGTTATGTAATATTTCTATGATAAATTGTTACTTGTTCATTTAAAAATTATGCTTCTGAAATACAGCATCACAGCAAACATTTTTTAAAATCTTTTAGCAAAGCAATCTCAGTAAAATTCTCATCCTGCTTTATTAATCCAATTTAAAAAATTAAAAGAGTATTGCAATCTGTTCCTTTAACAAAAGATAATGTAATCAAATGAAGAAATATTCTACAACTTTGGTTAGCTTGATTTACTAAGCTTTACATATGGCAGAAGAGAATAACGATTTCATTTTTTAGATGATGTTCCCTGCTTTTTCCTCTACCAAGAAGAAGCGTTTAATATTTTAAGTAAACATATTTCACATCCTAACAAGATAAAAATTATTCCCATTTAATAGAAATATTTCTTGCAAGCCTTGTGAGTTAGCACTGAAGTGAAATAAATGCATCGCTACATCTTAAACAATACAGTGTTTTACTTCACTGTACGAAGTAAAGGAAGTACTACAATTGCGAAAATTAGCGGGCATCATATTTCGACGAAAATACCCATTTTGACCGCTATCGAATGCAATTTAATGACGCTTTTGTGTGACTTCTCTACGTAAGGGCAGAATAAAGGACTATTTCTCACAAAACGTACTTAGAAATTTTGTGTATAGGACTCCAGTAACATGTAGTTGTGCACCTCCCTTTTTGTTTGCCATCCGGCCCCACGAAATTTCCCTCATTTTGATACATTATACTCAATTTATACTAGGAGATAATATAATCAAGAATATATATATATATATATATATATATGATATAAATTAAAAATAACAACAATCAAATCGCTGAGTTTGTTAAATTTTTGCAACATATAAAATAAATCAAAAAATTCGAAATTTAAATTCCAGGCTTAACCATGTTCTGATGGAGGAATACGTGTATTAAAAATTCAATGGCTGTAGGTGCCATTATTTTCCCACAGAAACATAACATACATACATACATATTCTTCACTATTTAATTTTTTTAAGTAATACATCGTGATAACATTTGGTGGCAACAATTTGAAAAGTGATTCGGATCCAAAGTGATACGGGCAAAAGGGAGTGATACGGATATATGTATAAAGGCCAATTGCAGCCAAAAAGGGAGATGCACAGCTGCAAGTCATAACAGTCCCGTACACAAAATTTGAACGTTCTACGGCTACTCGTTCTTGAGTTATTCGAGATACATATATGTAAAATATAAAAAATACGATGGCTTTTTCTACGCAAACAGGCAACCTCTAATTAACTTTCCGCAATTTCAGGATCTTCCCCTTGACCAGTACTTTCGAGAACATTCTGGCATGTTATGTAATCGGTACTATAAATGCAGAGTTCGCGCCATTTTTCGTCAGACTGCTGTCTGCCATCGCTGCTATAAGACCTTGCGCTGCTCTGTCCCTTCTTCTTTTCTTTGATAGAATAGTTATCACGTCGAAAACTTAAATTTAACCTTATTTTAATTTAAATCATAATTGGATATGTAATTTTGGAGAATCTAAAAGAATAGTGATCTGCCATTTGCATTGAATAAAGATGTGGAATTCAAAACAGCTAATTTCTTCTGCGTCGTGATTCTCCTGTAGGCCACTCAGCCATGTCCGGATTTTGATACCAAGCTTCATTCATGTACCCGACTGCCAAAATATCACATACATACATACGCACGTACGTACAGACGTCACAAAAATTCTCTTCCGAATTTATTTTACAATCCTTTTTTGCCAAAAAGTCCTTTAATTTGTCCGTACATACATCTGTCACGCGAAAAGATCGTTCTAATCGGTTTGAGAGCGGTCGAAATGGATATCCTCGTTGAAATATGATACCCGAAATTTTTCGCGATTACAATAATTCCTTTACTTTGAACAAGGAAGTAAGAAATAATGTAGCGAATATAGAAAAAGTGCATGGCAATCCCTAAAACTCTCTTATTTTGTTGTTCTTAATTTTATGTAATGTAATTGCGAAGAAAGTGGCGATTAGTCTAAAAAGACACATCCCCCAAAAATAAGTGTGTTGGCAGGAGGAAGTCCAAGAACAGACTGGTAACTTGCGAGCTCAGCGAGAGCACAAAAACCCTTAAGAAATCTTTTCGTCCGACGCTAAAATATGAATCCTTTAAAATTTCATTTCTCTCTTCTTTTTTAATTTTACTATTTTAATTTTTTATTCCTTTTTACTTATTTTGTGACTTTAATGATAAAACTGTTTGAGATGTTAGATTATAAATTAAAGTTCGCAGACTGCAATTTCCCTTTACTGAATTAAGAACAATCATTATGAGGCACCGAATAGAAGAAAAAATTTTCGAACATGCGGCTTTTAAATAAGACAGAAGAACGCTTTGTTTTACTAAGACCTTGAGCTTCAACGCTTTTTGAATTCATTGCATGGTGTCCGGAAGAGGAGAGACAAAGAGATTTAATCTGCCTTGGAACACGGGAATTCCATGAGGATTATAATATAATTTGAATAATAACGACAATGGTAGCTTAGAATTGTTCTGTAAGTGTCATTATTTATCACTTTATCGTTGGGGACGCAATTTAAATTCTGTACGAAGAATTTCGAGGAAATAAATACATTGGAATTTAGTTTAGTTCAGCTGATGACTTAAAATTCATACTGCTAAAATGCCACATATTAAAATTAAATATTCTCTCAATACCACATAGCAATCTATTCTTCCAATATTGATACTGGAAAACGTTTGAATGGCAATGCGATAAATTTTCTCCGATCACTTAATATTACAATCCCTCATTCATTTAAACATAAATGATACTGAATTCTGTTAATATTTGCATATCTTATAATATGCATTTATTGGCATTAGAATCTTCTTTGCCGTAATTATGCAGATTTATTTTTCGCCAACGATGCGTCATTCATTTCTCGCTGGGATGTCTTTTGCAGCTCTTCCTAATTTGTGCTGTTTATACTAAAGGTGCCATTTAAGGTATTCTCTTTTTTGTTCTTGGCCACTTTGTCACATGATGTAGCTTCTGATAAATTTTAGCAGTAACTATCTGTTGCTGTTATAATATTATTTTATTATAATAATATTATTAATATTAAGTTAATATTTTATTATTATAATAGCAGTGATATTCTGTTGAACTTGATGAAGCTAGAAACATTCCCCTCATATACAATGAATCTGCAGAATTTTAAGACTAAATTCATAAAAAATCGAAGTTGAAAAAAACAACGTTCTTACTTCTTAGTCTTCAATATATAATCAAACGTTTGAATGTTCATATCGTTGCTTGGCTCATTGTAGAACTCGTCTTTTGAAAGAGTGTTAAAGTCTCTGGTTAAAATTTTCTGAATCTATTCAATGATATTAAAATAATGATCTTTCATGTGAGATTTCACTTTAAGTAATAGAAAATAGTCTATATGTACTGCATCTGGTAAATAAGGGGAGTGGTTGAGGATTGTAATATTAACCTTTATTAGAAATTTACAAGAAAGGAGTTTATTGCGTACTTCACAACGGAAACCAGGTTTTCCATTGAACTTTCTCTCTTTCACATTTTTAGTCTAACAGGCTGAATTCTCTTAAAAAACTACGTAATATGCCTTTATAAAAGCATGGAATTCATTTTCTGTCCCTCACTAGCAAACTATCAAACTGTTTGTCACTCATCTTGTAGAAATATTAGGTATTTTTAGAAAACAGGATGTCCTAGCCGGGAATCGAATCACGGACCTCCCGAATACGCGTCGAGTGTGCACATTACACCATGAAGGCATGCTAAGAAGATGGAAGAAATACCTTATATACTCCCCCTTTTCAAGAGCAACTGTGGATTAAGGGACCCAGTCGCCAAATCCTAGCGGTGAAGATTCATTATCCACCACCGTTTTAGCTCGGGTGCCACTGTAGAGATATTAGGTTATTATTTGAAAGCAGGAGAGATGAAAAATGAGCAATGTCCTTGCCGAAAATCGAGCCATGGACCTCTCGAATACTCGTCGAGTGTGCTGGCCACTACATCACGAAGGCATGCTAAGAAGGCGAGAGAAATACCTTATAATCTTTTTCCAACCAAAAAACGTCGCCAATGGGATCTTTACATGAAATTTCGTATGTGTTCGCTGTATAGATATATAAAAGATTAACTTTGCAGAAAATTCTTCCTGATATTTTAACAAAAACAAGTTCAAATGCCATAGCAATAAAGATTATCGATTATATTCGGTAGATTTTCTGAAATTTATTAAAAAATAAGTCCTAAAACTTTGCAGATGCACTGTGTAAGATAATTGCATTTTAAAGCAATCTGTAATTTTGAATATTGTAAACTTAATTTCAAATATTTACGCCCTCACTTTAATTTTTATGATACTTTTCCAATATTATACATTATACATTTATATTATACATATATTTATCCAATAGTACACATAACACGAAATCAGAATGCGAAATCGAAATTTTATAATTATTTTAATTCACTGGACTCTGAATTTTAATCATTTTTTCCATTTCAATGCTTTTGATTAATTCTGATGAATTTTTTCCACGATTTTAACTGAACACAGCTTACAATTTAATTGGATCTAAAAAAGTTGAAGTAGAATTTTTAAAAAAAATCTTACGAAATTTAAGTCTTAAAGTATATTTCCACTGAAGGAGCAATGCTTAAAATTTCCATTTTTAATAAAGATGCTTTTTCAGGTCAAATGTTTTAAAGAGGCCTTTTTACTATGCAAATACACAGTTTGAATGGAGCTTTAGAATGAAAACTGTATTGACATACCACATTTTCGCTATTTTAACTATTAATAAAACATCACCTTTTACTTCTATGTCTGTAAGAATTAATTTTAAATAATTTAAGCAGTGCATATTTTATTTTTTACATTCCATTTTTTACCCTTTTATTGAAATAGACGACAAATTCATCAAGATCCGGATATAAATGTAAATACGTATTATTTGTGTAAGATAAAATACTTGCAAATAATTAGCATTCTCAAAAGTAGTATGAAAGAGATAAAAGCGGTTATCTTAAATGTTTTCAAAAAATAACAATGGCAACATAAAATATGCAAAATATGCATACTTTTCCATTTTCAATAATATTCGCTGTCATGGCGATGACATTAACATCTTCTTGCCATATCATTCGCCAAAAATCTCCTATGGTGTTTTCTAATGGCCCTAGAAAAATACACAAAAATGAAAATAATAAAAAGCATGTAAATAGCAAACATTTTTTCAATTATCTTTACTTGCATTAGAAAAAATGTTACTGTTGAAATTATTTTATGTTTCATAGATAATTCGAGTTATGGCTGAGTTTCTAGGTGTTGATGGCGTTACGATGAATAATTACTTAATTGCAAACAAAGGTAGCCATCGTGATGATTAAACACATTTTATTTCTGAACAAAACAATTCAGTAGAAGCACATTCTACAGAATCAACTCAAAATAAATAATACAAATCACTCAGCACAATGAGTGCAATCTGCACCCACAATTCTATATACCATTTATATACAATATTTATTTACAATTTTATATACCAATCTATATACTTTTTGGAACAATGGACAGCGAAGCAGCGAGATGCAACCTAGCCAAGCAAGGAGTAGAAAAATGTGACTGTGTATTCTATATCTGGGTATTTATAACTCATTTAAAAAGAAGAAAAGAAGGATTATTGCAACGCATTTAAAAAAAGAAAGTAAAGCGCATATTTTGGCATTCTTCTGCAAGTGAGAGTCAGACTGCAGGGCAGCATGGGTACAAGAAAACACCAGGGCGCCTTTACACGTGGTAGAATGACTTGGAAAGCTTGAGGTGAAGCATAGTTTCACATCTCCGCCCAAGAGTCTTGAATTAAGTGTTGTTTAACGATCTCAGAAAGCCCTCCAAACGACAGGTACAGTTTTAAGAAAGTTTGGTAGTGGTCGCTCAAGGAAAACAGCAATGACTGATGACCGGTATATCGCTTTGCAGTTGAAAAGAGATTAAAACCAGATAGCGAGCAACACCGCTCAGCAGCTACGCACGGTAACCGGAAGACAAGTGTCTCGGTTTACTGTGGTCAGAAGATTTAATAAAAGTGAGCTATTATCACCCGCCGTCCTGAACGCTGCATACCATTAAAAGCAAAAAGAGAACATAAGGCTTAGAGACCTCATCAATGAAGTTCCGTCCTCTTTACTGATGGTAGTCATTTCAATGACAAACGATTCTCGGCGCCTTTTGGTATGGAGAGAGGTAGGGGCATGTTTTCATCCCACTAACATCAGGGAAATAGAGCGTTGGGATGGTCCTGGCTTGTATGGGAAGGCATATGATGAACGGACGAACGAAGCTCCACATTTTCTACTTAGGTTCATTTACCGGAGATCCTTATTCATTTACGTTATCCTACCTCACGTGCATTTGGGGGGGATGCTATTCATCCTGGCTTTATTTTTATGGATGCAGAGAACTCATACTATTGAGAAGCTCCTGGAAAGTGGAGATACCCACAGAATGGTTTAGCCAGCGTGCTCCTCTCACTTAAATCTCATTTGACATGCGTGGCATACTTTAGGCGAACGCCTGCCGGCACGATTTTACCCTCCGGAAAACAGAACGTCAAAGCGAGGACCCCTGACCTGAAGGATGACCACGGGTCTGCCATACGGTTTAATGTATCCAAAGTTCGGAGACCTCCTTAACGACGGCGCACACCCCACAGTCCCTGCCCGGCTTTATACGTAGCCTCGAGGCTATACGAGGAATAGACACGACAGTACCAGTACGGTCCCAAGCCTGAACCAACATGAGAATAAACTCGGGCTCTAGTCCTGTGAAGACAAATTTTAAAACCCCGTGGTTGAGACTGCTAAGTACAGATCCTAGCCAGTACCTCACAGGAATTTTCCTGAGTCAACCCCGGGGGGGGGACCCTCCGGAAAACAAATAAAACTCGGGAAAGAAGATGCTTCTTGAAGAATGAGAACTCTCACTTCAAGAACTGTTAGAAAATCTGATTTTGAGTATTGGCAGACGGTGCTACGCAGCCGTTGCAGTTAAGGAAGGTCCATGTTCCTTAATAAGACTCTTTAGTGTGTTCTCGCTCTTGGCCAGATAGTGTTTTTTTGTACCAAAGCCATTCAGTCAATAAGCCTTTTTCTTTTTGCTCCGTACTAGATGCGTTCTATTCATTTTTTTTTTTTTTTTTTTTTTTGCTACAACGTTTTCCTCATCCTTTAAGTATAATATTGTGCCTCCGTAGTATGAATTCTATGTCTCCCTGTTGAAGTTTTGTATAACTAAGCTCAAAATCAGAAAAATTGCTTAAGTTTTACACACTAGTGTCTAACAAAAAGAAACGCAAACAGAGAAGACATTTTTAGAGTGGTTTGAAAATTCACCGATATGTCATGAAATGATGAATTCGATATGTCATTGATAGGATGAAATACTTTGAAAATATTCCAAAAGCAAAAAATAAATAAAAAAAATTATCATTGATACTATTCGTTTACCGTATATCTTCCTGGAATTTCTTGGCTAACTGCTTCTTTTCCAGACTTATTTTGCTCAATGCTTGTTTCTTTTTAGAATTTCAGTTATACCTACTCTTGTAACACTGACACAGTAGATGGCTTTTGAATGCAATCTGTAGGTACTGATTGAAAATGCATAAAATACTTAAGGTATTACTTACACTGCATTATATTATTAATTAAAACTCAGTACGAAACATGGAAACAGAATGGTTAACGATAAAAAATTTCTCAAAATATCTTTACTAATGAATTTGCGTGACATGCACAGATTTCTATCACAACACAACTCTTCAATAAATCAAAGCATATATTACATCACGACAGCCTAAACACAAGTTTTCAATATTAACTTTCTTTAGTATAGTTTCATAGTTCATCTTAAGTACTCCATAACCTATTAGCCCACAAAGCGTGAACGCGTCAAGTTTAAAGAATCTGATAAACTCATTGTTAATCTGCTACGGAAAAAGTCAATCTTAGCAAGAAACAAATTAGCTTTATTATGCTCTACATTTTAAATGTCCAATTTCAATTGGTATTAAATTTGAAGACCAAGGAGCCAGTGGATCTTGCAGTTTTCACTAATAATTCTGTATTTACTGATTGTTTTGATCAGCATTTTCTTACTGCAGATGTGATGTGTATTTCGTTCTAAAGACAGCCAAAACAGCTTATTTAAGCAGGTGACCGGCGAAAGCGGGTCCGGACACCCGGGCGGCTTTCATAGACTAATCGGGCATTGTCCGAATTACAGAACTATTTAGTGCAACATCTCCGGGGCCATACAAGGAACGTATTGGTAATTTATTAAGATGTTACATATGCTGATGATGACAGCTTATTTAAACAATAGATCTATTTTTTAGCTTTCTCAACTTACTTCTCATCTATTCTGAAAATCTTTTAGCCGGATCTTTGCCATAGCTCTTTAATGTCGGAATTTTCAGAAATCAGAAGGTACAGAAAACGTATGAAACCAACACTTGTGATGACTGAAATGGCTGCCCTGTATGGACAACTGAAGGAGAAATTGCTAATATGTAATTATGTGCCTTAACATCATCATGCAGCAAAACACAGACTTGGATTGTTGAAAACTCTCGTCTGCTTGAATATACAGAAGAGACATTTCTCTTTCCTATGCAATTTTTTATAAAACCCAAATGGCAAAGGTTTCCCTCTGTGCGATATCTATCGCAAAATCTGGTGCAGCTACTTTGGTAAAAACCAGCGATAAAAGTTGGTAAAGATAAAGATTCAAGACACCATGAAGGATGTGCCAAGTAAAGGTGAAAAAAATCCATTTGCTTTACTGGGACCAACCAACAGGTTTCAGCTGTTGATATATTTGTTTGACTGTTCCTCTGTCAAAACTGTATAGAAATCGTGCTAGTTTCTAAGCAGTTCTTTTGCAAAGTTTGAAAGGTCATTCACCGTATGCGCCGTTAATCTCAGTATTTATTTAAAATCCTCAATTGGCAGTGTTAAATGCCACTGCATTGCACAGGGGCCAGTTAAAGATGGCATTTCTCTTTTCGAATGTTCCCCCATGCGAACTACAGAAAAAAAATGCTTCATTAATAAGAATTTATTTCATTTCAATGGCAGACTTCATATTTTAGCAAAACACTACTATTTTTAGAATAAAACAAGCATAATGCAGAGCACTTTTATCATAATATAGAGACATTCAGCAGAAAACATTCAGCTTATGGTTAACGGTCTACAACCTCTTTCGTAACTTCAGAAGCGCCATCGCGTATAGGTATAGATAGGTACACATTAAGTGGGGTACAAACTAGAGGAGGTCCGCCCACCTGACAATGCTGTCCCATGGCTATGGAACCTCCTCCTTCAAACCACAAACGACGGCGGCCAGCGACCCGGCCGCGCCCAGCGGGCAAAAATAGTATTTGTCCCGAGAAACCAAAGTCTGGAGCCGGGCAACAAAAGAAGTTAGAAAAAAGGAAACTAAAACAAAAGACAAGCTTGTATGGCGCAAGCTGACAAATCATGTATACATAAAGGAAAGAGAGAGAAACAAAAGAAAACTAAATTAGAATAAAAGTTATTAGCTAAAAGAAACAAAAAGTGAAGGAAGAAATTAACTATCAATCAAAACAAAGCATGCAAATAACACAAAACATACCATTCAAACACACAGAACATGTAAAACAAAACACACACACAAGAAATACCGGGAAGGGCCAATGAACTAAAACACATTAAGTGGGGTATCAGAAATTCCCGACTGGTCGTACAAGTATAGGTCCCGCTTCTCTAGCTGTGAAGCTCCGACACAGTTTTGATGGAAAACTCCCCGGAAGACGTCCAGAGTCTTCCACCCATTTTCCCCTACCATCAAATCACACAAGAAGACTTTCGACTCGTGTATTTTGAGTGCCCGCATGCCGCACAGACACCATGCACTTTGGTTACATTTGGTTTGATTTGAATATGACAAAGCCACTAGGCTATTCTGGTTAAGAGAAGCGATGCGCTTGTGGAAGACTTTCTGAGGAAATTTTTCTCATATTCACGTTACATACGAGAAAAAGCACGAAAACCAGCCATAACTTAATAAAGTTAGGAAATAAACATGAAAGCAGTATCTTTGGTTCGGGTAGTAATCACCACCCAAATCTATGTTTTTCTGACAAAGTTTTGGTAGTTTTCAAAGCCTTCGACCTAGAAACTTGGTGACCGCGAGTCCAAAAACAGTTCAACCTGATTTCGGGCGTCCTGTGCAGAATGGAAGATAGCACCAGCAAGATGTAGTTTCAGATGTAAAAAAATATAGAATTTCAAAGGAGCGATATCGAGGCTATATGATGGGTGTGGTAAAAGATCTCATTCGAATCCGCACAGAATGCAGACAATGCAGACACATGTGGTCTTGCATTATCTTGATGGGATATTACCTTTTTGCGCCTGAACTCAGTCCCACGTTTCTCCTTGATAGCAGCGTCAATATGGACTAGCATCCCCGCTGTACACTTTACTGTCGAGGCGTTTACCTTTTCCAAATACTCTTTGTGGATAATACCACAGCAAGTTCCACCAGATACAAAAGATAATCATTTTGTTAGTCTAATTTCTGAGCTTTGCGTCGCTTCCGAAACCGGGAGCATGCAAACTCCCTTTTAGGCTTGCGTTGTTGAAGTAAATTCACTTTTCATCACAAGTGACGATCTGGTCCAGAATTTTGTCTTACGTTGATATTCGAGCAGATTAGTGCGAACCTGCACACGCCTGTACTTATCTACTTGAGTCAGCTCATGAGGCACCCAGCGATTGAACTTGTACGCCAAGTTTATGCGATGCATAGCGCGACTAATGGACATAGCACTAACCTCTAACTTCTTAGCAAGCTCTCAAGTGGTTGCATACTGATCTTCTTTCACAAGTTCTCGCAGGCGGGCCTCATCAACATCCGTACCGCGGCCAGAGCGCTCTGTTTCTTGAATGTCATAGTCCTTTGAACTTTCGGTACCAAACCTTCACAGTGTCATATGATACAACATTAGTACCTAAAGCTATGCACATCATTTGGTGACATTCCGTAGTTGATGCTTTTTCAACAGAAGTGTAAGTAAATGATGGTTCTAATCTGATAGCGTGATAGTTCCATTCAGACACCTTCTACTTTATGGTAACGACATATTTTTACAAATTTCAAAGCACATTGTTCTAAAGCAAGTCTCTATATTTCACATGCCGAAAACCGTTTAACAAAATATGATTAAACACGCTCGTGTGAACTGTTTGTGCAAACGATATTTGCGGTGGCGGAAAACTTTCGTTAAAACCCGATATTTATGCTACGAAATCTTAACGCTTTTCGTGATATTATAATTAAATCACTGATCATCTCAACAAGTAATTGGAAATAATGGCAACTTGTGATTTGCATGATCTTTAGATATTGTTATTCTTTACGAACATTTTTAATCTCCAGTTCAAAAACAGAGTCTCAATATTGAATATAACTGTTCATTATAATCAATTGTACAATTGTTTCGTAAGTTTGATAAGTGCCGTTTAATTCTGTTAAAGATCGACAATTCTTCTATCCTTTACACTGATTCTAATGTTTTATACACTGATTGTAAGATTAGCGATACTTATGTCCCAGGTTTCCACGAATGACCGCTTTGTTTTTTTCTCTTATACTGAACACATTGCCATAAATTTCGGCAGTAAACGGTTATAGTTCTGAATTCTATGATTGCTGCGAATTTGTAAAGACTTATCTACATAAGACTACAAAATGTTTCAACGACGCAATAAATTTATCTTTTATACTTGTTGGTCCACCAGCGGCCGAGCGGTAAAGTCGCTGAACACTGGTAGTTCGGTCCGAGGTTCGAATCCGCGAACGGGCTGGCTGCATGGGGTTTTCGTGGTTTTCTCCATGTGTAACGTGTATACGAGCCAGTTTTCCTTAGAAAGTCCTCCACGAAGGCATCCCTCCCCCTTAGGCAGATAGCCCTGGAGGCTTTGCCATAATCACACTCACTCACTTTTATACTTGTTAGCTGACAGCAGTTCCTCTTCTAAAGGGCGATTCTGCTCTTATTAGTGCTTGCTTACGTGCTCCGATACTTGTTGCCTGAAAGCAGTTCTTTTGACAGCAATGATTTTTCTCCGAAACTGCTTTGCGTTATTGAATTAGCCTGAAAGTTAAAGTACATACATTGCATCGACGCCCCCCTCCCCAAAAAAGCGAAATTTTGATGGTAGTGTAAATAATTATTTGCATAGTCATGTTACTTCTCTGTACCTCCTATACATCGGTGAATAACTAAAATTACAGTATCGACATAGATTCATTTAACGATAATTAAATGTCCGCGGATGTCGGGAGAAACTTGCTTATAAATATGTTGCCTCGTGTAGAGACCCAAAAATTACCCGAAAACGACGGCTTAACGTATGAGACCCGAAATTGATCACACTCTGATATACAAAATTTTTCAGTAAATTCACTCATAGAATATTTGAAACTGCAAATTTAATAAGTTATTTATGACAGGTTTCATATTGTAAGAAACAACAGCTTTGCTTCGCATCGAAAAGAACCATAAATTTCGATGAAATCGTCGTTGAATCTGTGTAAATATTGTTTGCATAATCTTGTATGCATCTTACTTGAAACAAAGCGTCTTTTATTATTTTAAATAATATGACAGGCATTCCATATGACTTGACTGCTCTTGAAAAAATCCGTCAAGGCAAAGCAGTTAGCCGTTGATCTCATTTATTGGTTTACCATTTTCAGGCAAAATAACGTTAGCTAAACAGAATAGCAAAATAAAATGGAACACATTGTAGTTCAGCTAAGCCACGCAGCCAGTATAGTGGTTAGCGGTTAGTGACACTGAATTTTACCCCAATGGGCTCGAATTCGAATATGGGAGAATCTCGGAGAAGGCATGGATGTTTCTAAGCGTACAATGCCTGTGCGGCAAGAGGCACTCAAAATATAAGGAGTGCCAAAAGTTGTCTCGAGAGCTCGGTGTTAGGGAAAGATTGGTGGAACAGCCTCTGACCACCCCCTCGGGATGTTCTTCAAAACTGGGACAGAGCTATACAGTTACTGCAGCGGGATTTTACCTGCGTAACGAGTGGTAAAATTCTGGTTGTCCTACCCACTTACACTTGTAGTTCAGTTATATGTTGTATATCTATATATAAAATGTGATTTCCAAGCTCAATTATATTCATTGCCTGTTATCGATTAAATCTTCCCTTGTGCTAAGGGACGATTTAATTGATAATTCCGCTATTCCAGGCGCAACGCCGGCAATACGTTCTTGTCGCGCTGTCAATACATTTCCTTGTATAGACGGGCTAGTGCAGGCACCACAAACGTGGAAAGAAGCTTCTTCGGAAATATGTTATCTCTTGTATACGGAGCTTTGAAGAAAGTAATGATAAGCAATAAGAATCGTATAAAACTAATCACTACATGCCTGGGAACCATTTTTATATGACAGCTCAGCCATATTGAGAGTGCTTCAAAACTAAAATCTGCATCAGTTTGAAACATCCTGAAATTTGGGTATCTCTTTTTTTGAGCTGTCATATATCGGTGTTTTTCAGATATTCGGTATTAGTTTTATCACTTCTATAGTGTCAATGTTGTTATATTTATATCTTGTTTTGTTAGCATTAAGAGGAGAGCAACAGATGTGAAGAGTTACTTAAGAAAGAAAAATTCCCAATTACTTTCCGACGGCTATTTTTTTTTCTGGCGTAAACAAAAGTGTATTATTAATTAAAACGACAGTAAAATAGGAACTTGTACCTTACCTTGCGTGCAGATGTAACGAACGCTTCTGTTATAGCTCTGAAATAGTAAAAAACAGCAGGAGTTATTTTCATTATTCATTTTATTTCACTGAAAAAATGATGCTATCATATCTCTCAGATTGCATTAAACGTTTCTAGATACAGACAATAGAAAAAAATATTTTTAAAAGCTTCAAGTACTTAAAAGTTTAAGAGAACTTTAAAATAAATTATACACACATAGATCGCAAAATTTTTATTGGAATTTCTTCGGAGTAATCTTCAGAAGTTTTCGTAAACTCAGAATTTTCAAAACAAAACTGAAGAGATAAAAACTGTGTTAAAATATTGTTCAGCTCATGTGGCTCTTTATTAAGATGAAAAATAACAAGACGCTCTGACTTCTAAATCGCAATCGATTTTTCAAGGGAAATTACACTTCTAAATAGAAGGCTGAGAGTTAAATCACTATAGTTGGTTACTTTATAATAGGTACTTCAAAGTCATTTTCCCTGCCCGTCTTGCCGCGTAACTGCAGCGGATGGTCGTGTTTCGTGACTTCCCCCCCCCATTTCATTTCCGTTTAGCGTGATTCGCTTCGTCAAGAGCGCACGAATGAAAACTGACTTTTGGAGGAAATAAGTGCTGTGCGGCAATGACAACTCTGGTCATGATCAAAAATGGGGATGGGTGAAGAGCTCTTGAAGTGCTTGTTTTAAAGTAAGACTAGAACAGATAGGAAGAATAAATGTGGGTTGCTAAAGTTGTATCACATGTGAAGTGGGTTCAAAATTTTCTGCAAGGTAAACAATACAGTCAGTAACTTTTAATGTGCTCTCTTTATATAAGGGAAACACATTTTTATATTGGTTTCTATATGATATGAGAATAAAGTTCAGTGACTGTGTTCATGAACAAAAGTTTCTTGCCAAAATTATGAAAACTCTTTGGAATCAAAAACTAGTACCAATTAATTTTCTCTGATCAGTGGATTGAGCCATTCGATAGCTGGGTAACATTTGAAATCTCACCTCAGAATTTTTTTAAATTTGTCAGAAATTGCAGTAGCACTTACAATATATAGCTTTTAATGATACCAAAAGGAAAGTTACTGTAATGGTTGCAATAATAATGCTTTACAGACACACTGTATCATTTTAATATGTCTGAAAGTCTTTAAAATGTTTTCCCGTTGTATATTTTTTAACGCTTCATTATCCTTCAGTAGAAATGACCATAGCTGTTTAAATAGTTCTAGGAGGAATATACATTTTATAAGAATCCTTATAAATTCTAAAAGCAATATTAAGGAGATTCAAAAACATGAATACATAGCACTTGCTTTCAACAACACCCAATGTAAAAACTGGTTTAAAGTTTTAGTGCGAAAAATTGCAATAAAAAAATTAGATATAATTATCTAAAGCATTCTCTTACCACAAGGGATTTTTTGCTAGAATAAAAATCTGGCATTTTTGTTACGAAGATTACATTTTGAAATTACTGGTGAAAAACGGATTTTATTTAAAAAAGCCCTACATTTTATACTATTTGATTGTTCAATTCAATAAGATTAAAATCCCAGTAGCGGATTGAAATTGATAGTAAAAATATTGTACCTCTATGTAGCTTGCATTGATGTAATCTGAATGTGGATCGTTTTTGTATGGTTGCAAAACAACTCGGGTTTCATCATCTGGAATAAAATTAACAGTCATTAGAAAATGAAGTAATAACAATTTTTAAATGCAATAACAAGTTTTAAAGTGAAGCATATTTTAAATAAATATTTTTAAAATGATCCTACATATATGAACTTCAGATTACAGTCAAAGCCTGGTTTAATGGAGTAATGTCAAGAACAACAGCAACGGTTATCTCGTAGAGTCATTAGCGTTTTTGACGCTAGAGAAGTGAAAAATGTGCAATGCCCTCTCCGGTATTCAAACACCGGACCTCCTGAACATGCATAGAGTGCGCTTGCAGTTGCACCACGAAGTCATGCGGAGAAAATACCTTATATACTACCCCCTTTAAAAGGCGACTGGGGATGAGGAAATCCATTCACCAAATCTTGGTGGTGACGAATTATCATCCACCATCTTTTAGTTCAGGCGCCACAATAGAGTCATTGGGGGGTTTTATGCTGGAGACTTGAAAAATGTGCAGTGCTCTGGCCGGAATTCGAACACAGGACCTCCCGAATACGTGTCGAGTGTGCTACCAGTTACGTCACTAAGGCATGCGGAAAAGAGGGAGAAAAGACCTCATAAACTTAAAATCACATTTACTCCGAAAACAAATGCAAAAATAATTCATATTATAATTAACATAAAAATAAAATTAGCAGTTTAATCAAGAGAACAAGTTTTCTGGTATTAACCAGAAGATTTTATATTTTCGAAGGCCAAAAAAGTATTTCGAAGGCCAAAAAGTCTGATAATTCCAAAAATAGGTATACAAACTTAAGAAAGCAGGGTGAATGTGGGATCTGGAATTAGATGAAACTCTGAGGAAACTAAAATTACAAAAATTAGCTATATTTATGTTCAGAAAGGAAAAGATGCCTATATCATAATCGCTATGAATATATATAAATGATTTAATAATTCTGACTAAAAGAGAATCTTCTATGAGACACATTAAAAAAACACTTTCAGCAAAACTTTTGAAATGAGGGATTTAGGCAAAATAAAACAGTGTTCAGACATTCATTTTGATCAAAAGGAAAATGTATCAATTAGCCAAATTCAGAAAATTAAATATCTCTCGGCTAAGTACGGTATGCGAGAAAGTAAGGCTATACCAACAACGCTAGATCCTAACGTTAAACTTTGCAAATCTTCAAACTTCGCCAAAAATATAAGGTGTAGTCAAAAATAAATATCAGTACATAATCGTGTATCTAACTTACTTAGCTGTATCTACACGACCTGATATTACAAATTCTGTTAGTAGACTTAGTTATTCTGTTAGTTTACTGGTAATCTGAAATACTTTCTCTGGATTCAAGTGAAAGCCTACTACACCTTAAATTACATTAGGTGTGAAGATAACTTGCATATCTTAAATATTATGTAGACTCGGAATGGATAGAAAATACTGTCGACGGAAATCATTTAGTTGCTATGCTTTTATTCTGCCAGGAAGCCCGATTTCTTGGGAATGACGGTAGCAAAGAATTGTAGCGTTATCAAGTACTGTAACAGAATACATAGTCTTGGCGTGACGTTTTCGTTCGTGAGTATGTGCATAGTATAGGAGGTATTGGCGGAAGCTTCAAAAAAGCGATGCACTAGCATTGGCTAAAAGAGTGCTAGGTTGTTTTGAGAAAGTATCAAAACCAACCGTGCTGTACAATGGCAATCAAAGTGCACAGCATTTCGTGAAAAATCCAGTTCGGCACTCTGGAACAAAAAACACTGATACTCGTTTTCAATACTTTTATGACAAAAAGGAAATTGACATTAAGTATGTCTCTACAGCAGAAATGCCCACCGATACTTTAAAAGAAATATCTAGGTAGGGACAAACATAGAAAATGTATGAATCTTTCAGGTTTTTAACTTAAGAATGTAGTTTTCTATTTCATTCTCTTTTTAGAACTGGGAGGGAAAGTGCCCTTCGCGCTTGTGCAGAGCTAGAGAGGTGAAACGTCCAGTCCCATGCGCATATTTCGTAAGTGCACATCTGTAGCATCACCGAGAGAGTGGCTTGTGAAAATTTTCAGTACGAATTAGTTCAAATATAAGCATAATTAAATATGTAAATAGTAGAAGATCTTAGCATTTGTTATTGCAGTCTATATCCAAAAGTTGTTCCGTAATAATAGCCAATGCACAGTTTTATTCAAAGTGAACTTTCCTGATTTGGATTCCTACACATTTAGTGCGTTATATTTCACATTAGTAACTGTTAACTCTTAAATGCCTGCACAAGAAATACTTCTCAAACAGAATGAATTGATCTTATTCATAGCGAATGTATTTAATTTCTTCATACAAAACTTTTAATGTTAACAATATAATCGGATCACTCATAATGTATACTATTTTGTATCTTTCGCTTTCAAAATCAAAGGCATGTAAACATTGAGATAAGAAAATACTAGATACATTGCAACACTTCCTGTTATTCCCAGCTCAATGAAAAAAATATACATTTGAATTCTCTTAATCCACAGGTGTTAGTAAATGCACAATATTTGAGGATAATAGTAGCTTGAGTCATTTTCTCGATATAAAGAGCGATAATATGCCACGAACATTAATCTGTCCGAATATCTGTGCGTGATAAGTTTCGCGAAAATGAAATGTTGGAGATTAAATAAACTTATAAAATGAAAGCACTACAAGATTTTTTACTAAACTGATAGCAGCATTCATATGCCATACATTTGTAACTGCGAAACAAATGCAAAACAGAACGTAAACAACATACACTCACATGCACTGTTTCAAAAATTCGGCGTACAAGAGCAACAGAAGCTCATCGGTCCATTTTTGAAACCCCATCCTCAGTGACGAATCTGATGTGCACTTGTGAAATATGTATCCTGCGACAGAAGCCAAGAACTGTCTGAATACTGTGGTGTCCCGACGCGGCTATCAGGGGTGTGTGTCGTCCTGGTTATCTACGTGGTCGGCAGACGCGGTTCTATCCAGTGTGATGCGTCGTCGTAATGCACGGAATCCTGATAAACAATACAGCTGTCGAAAACAAGAACGGGCGTATGAATCTAGCAGAATGCTGAAAGTATTTACTATGAAGCAACGCATGTAATTGCAGTCAAGTACCTGTCGATCTAACTTAATGGCAAAGTACACTCTACTGAAATAATGTAGCAGTTTACGCCAGTCAAGTTAATCAACTGTTATCCATCTTATACTCGTATTTTTCCTCACATCTCATAAATTGACATAATATGTTCATCTATGTTGTTAAGCTCCAGGAATACACCATTAAAACCTTTTGTTCCACTTACATCAAGGATGCTCCTTTGGTAGGCAAACACGTTTTCTACAATATATTAACACTCAACAACACCAAAAACCATAAAACAATGAGCAAATTAAGGCTTCTACTGAAATATTACGAAATCTCTGTTTCTCTTGGAACTAAATTTGCCTTAAATTATAAAGTTTGTTAAAAAAGGGAACAATTTTTTTTGGAATATTCCCCAAACTGTTGCTATAGTTGTTATGCCCATTTAAGATTACTATTGCTATGTTCATTAAATTATTCATTTTTCTTGTCCACTAAAATTGTCATGAACTTAACCTTCAACTATTTTTGGATGCCTACTGTCTGCATTAATTTCATATTTAATTGCAGAAAGTTTAAATTTTAAGTAATGCATAGTTAATTTTAATAAACTTCAAATTCAATATGAAAAAATAATAATGAATCATATATATATATATAGAGAGAGAGAGAGAGACTTTCTTTAGTAAAATAATGCAATATGAATAAGATTTTGCAACAAAAATCTTTTTTAACAATTTCGACAGTTATCTAAATCTAGTTTCGAAAGAAGCATCTATAAAAACACATATGCATATAAAATGTTATAAATTAAAATTTGGTATTTAATAACGTCATTATATCATATTTACATTAATTATTTATAAATAGGACGCTTCGATTAAAATGAAGAATTTACAAATGATCAGTTAAGAAATTAAGCATCTAAAATCTGTTAAAAAATTATGATCTATTGCACTTCTGTCAGGTCATAGCTTATATATGTATTTGAAATTTCAATTACTTTACGAAAGAGAGTAGACAAATTACTTCAAAAAGTACCTAAAATCATAAAATTATTTTACAAGTGAGTTCCAGTTAAATGTAAAATATATTTCGAATACATACAAGGCAACAGATCTGGATATCTGTTTTTCTGCTTGTTTTCTGGTTTCATGCCAACATTCCACGGCCTTTGTTGGTCTGAGCTCAGCATCTGCATAAAAATTACATAATTAATGAAATAAAAGTACCACGAATTGATTAGGTTTTTAGTATATTAGATTTTACTAGTTTTTTTATTCTGTTTGGTAAAGAAAGGACAGAATACAGAGCAATCTTTTATTTTTATATAATTTATTATATTCATATCTATCAAGTAAAAGATCTTTTCCTCCAAAATTTTCCATAAAAATACTGGTTCGCATTTGGGTGCGCTCAAACACCTACGTGGAAAATTAGGGCTACAGGTGAAAACATGCTGACCAAGACATCGGGAAGAAAAAAATGCAAGGAGAAAACATCGCAAAGCAAAACATTGTGGAAGGAAACAAAAAAAGAATAAAACATCGCAATTCAAAAGCATAGTGGTAAAAAAAAAGTTCTTCAAAAACCTTGCAGTTTTAAAACGTCGTTCCACAAAATATATCTCGGTAAAAAATAAAGTACTCGCAAATCACAGCTTGATGAGAATTCGGCAGATATACATTTCCTAACTGTAAAGGTTTTAAGTGAATTTTAACATAATGGGTTTTGAAAAAAACAAGAAGTAAGTAATGTCTTTGCCTTTATATTTCTTATTTTTGTATTAAATAATAAATTTTTATTGAAGAAACAAGAAAAGAATTTAAACATTAAAATTCTGGAAATTAGTACAAGTTAATGCTATACAATTAATAGAATTTTAAACTTATGCTTATATACCCTCAACTTTGCAATGTTCTCCATATTAATATTTTTTCATAAAACTTTATTAATCTGCCTTTAAAAACGTATTAATTAAAGAGTGACTTTTACAATTAGCAAAAGATCCATTAACTGCTATACGCAGCATTAATTTCACTTATTTCCAGATTTTGAATTCTTAAGTTTTCTTCTTGCTTTTACAGTGAACATTTATTAAATAAAAAAAGATTTATATACAGATGTAAAAATACTTCTTATGCTCAAAAATCATTAATGCGAAAGTTAACATAAAATCTAGTCAGAAAACGCATGTCTGCGATATTATGATCGGTTACAGTCGAAACATCGCGGACAAAAAACGTCGCGGAGAACACACTGCAAGGGAAACACGTGGGATAAAAGAAAGCAAAGAATTTATTGCACACTATACATGAAAATGTTAACGACACTTTAATCACAGTTCTAAAACATCGTGGTACAAAATATTGGGTCCGAAAATAAAGTGGTTCAAAAACTTTGCAGTTTAAAAACATCGTCGTCGAAAAATCGTGGTAAAAAATAAAGTACCTCAAATCATCGCATGACGATAAGATCGCACATGAGTTTTTCAAATCCCATACTGACATATTATGTAAATGACTTTCGCCATAACTAACAAATCGACATCCAAAGAATTTATTGCACGCTATACATGAAAATGTTAACGAAACTTTAAGAATAAACAGAAACAAAAGGAAATATAATTTTCACTAAAACAGTATCAGAAGGACAAAGGTGAAAAAAATAATTTTATAATTAACTAAGCAATTTATATAGGGGTAACCTCATGCAGTTATTTATCTTCCTTTTTCTAAACACTCTTAGACTGTATTTTTCATAAAATTTATTAGTAAAACTTTATAAAAAATAAGGTTATTTTATTAATGATTTTTGTTAATTAACTATGTAAATTTAAAATTCTATTAAGTTGCATTAATTTTCTACTCATTTTCAGTTTTTAAATGCTTAAGTTTCCTTCTTGTTTTTTGAGGAAAAATTTATTAGTTCATTCAAAAATATGAAATATAGAAATAAAAGAATCTCTCTTCCCTTCTTGTGCTCCCGAATCATAGTGCGAGCATGCATTTACAACTTTGAAGACCTGAAAACGCATGTGTGCGATGCTATCGTCATAAGATGATGACTTTATTTCCTACCACAATATTTTCGACGACGCTGTTTTTAAATTGCGAAGTTTTTGAGCTGCTACATTTTCGACCATGCTATTTTGTACAACGATGTTTTAGAACTGCGATGTTTTCTCTTTGCTTTCTTTTCTCCCACGATGTTTTGTATTACGATGTTTTCGCCTTGCGTTGTTTTCTCCGCGACGGTTTCGTCGGCGATGTTTTTGCCGCGATGTTTTCGGCGGAAACCATTATGATGATGCGATGATTTGGTTTAAAAATACTAAATTTTTGCACAGCTTTATTTTCTACGGAGATGTTTTGTAAGACTTTTTTTTCCTTGCGCTGTTTTCTCCATGACGTTTTCGTTCGTGATATTTTAGGTGGACACCGAACACACAATGGTTCTTACTTCCTACAGAACTGATAGACCGCATAATTGACACCATCAGACATCTCTGTACATGCTGTATTGCTCCTAGGGAAAATCATACTCCATATTGAAATTATTTTTCGGATACCAATCTGATCTTGTTCCGATTTGTTCATTTTATACATATGCTAATTTCTACATTACCATAATTGTATGGTAATTTCTTTGCATGTTATTTACTAGCTTACTATGTGTTGTATACTGTGGGTCAGTTTTATTAAATTCTACATGTAACTTTTTGAGTAATCCTCATTTTTGTGATTTTTCCTTAATAAATGATAACTAGTGTATATATAGTATATTGAAAGGCAATAAATATCTTTTATCAATATCCAATGCCCTAAGTCCTCTGAGCAATAAAGAAGTTCTTAACTCATTTCGTTAATGCTTAATCTCTCGAGCGGCCGGCACCCAAAATAGTTATTATGAAACAGATATATAACGATTTTAATGAGTCTTTCTAGTATTATTTCAGGGATCAGCTAGTAACAAATAATAGTACAGATGACGAATTGCATTTTTTTGCTTTTTTTGCTTAAATTATTAGTTTGTTAATCAATAACAGATTAAATTTGAAAGAAAAATTAAATATCAACCTTTGACAAATGGCAAAGCATCGGCGCGTGAATCATAAAAATATATTATTTTGGTTAATCTTTAAGTTTGTTGATTAAATTGAGAGGCATTTTAACGCTTCACTGAAGGCAATCCATTGTTTTAAAATCGCTGAGCTTGTTAATCTCTACATATAATAAAAGGAAGAGTCTATGTGTGTGTGTGTCTTTCGTTTGCGCTGCGCGTAAGCTACTAGACTTACGGCTACGAAATTTGGTACATAGGTGCATCTAGACAAGGGCCAGTGCACCTCGAAGCGATGTTTTAGAAATTCGAATTACAATTTTTTTATTTTATGTTTTCTGACGAAATCGCGTCATTTTGAGACATAATGGGCTATATAGGAAAGCGAGATTTTACTCTACGCACTCCATTTTCCCATCGTCACGAAACGTAGGCACTTAGCTATTTTACGAACTTAAAATAAATTTCGTGTTTCAATAAATCGATTAAATACGAATTTATTTAACAAAGGGAGCTTAACACCTTTTCAACGGGATTTTTTCTAAAAAAGTTTATTTTAAAAATTGTACAGTTTAGTTTTCTTTGATTTTGGGACACGTTAAACTTCCATCCTTGCGACTGCTTTTACAAAAAGAATTTTGGAAAAATGATAATATTTTGTATTTTTTTTTAAAAAAATTTAAATGAAGCTTCCGAGTACACTTCTCACATGTCACATCTTTAGAAATGTGATTTTGGCAACAATTTTCCTGTCTTATTGTTGTTGATACATTTTTGATGAAATCGCATCATTTTGAATAGTTTCATTCTTTTAGAAATGTGGGTTTGGCAACAATATTTCATCGTATTTCTTATGTCACTGTTTTTAATTGATTGGCGTATTTCATTGTCATTTATATATATATATATATATATATATTATATAATAATTTTTATTGATTTTTTTTTTTTGATAAAAGTTGTTCTGTAGAGTAAAATTCTGCGCGGAATTTTATGTTTTTTGAGTTGCTTTCATGTTATTTTTTGCTTATTTTACTGTTTGTAAGACATAATTTTTTTTCTTCACCGGAAAGTTGGTTAATTTTTTTATTAGGATAATTAATATTTGTATTAAGGGATATTGCGTATTTCATTGTAATTTTTTTCTCTTGAAAATATAAGACAAAATATCATTAATTATACTTTGCTTTTCAGAATTTTTTGTTTTTTGTATTCTTTTATGTTATTTATTGCTCATTTCTTTGTTTAAGATACTGAAAAGTTTCGAGTGATTTTTTTAGGAAACAAAGTTCTTAACCTCCTTTATACCATTTGAGTTCTTAAGATTTTGCAAAGGGAAGTTGGTTAATTTATTTATTAGGATAATTAATATTTGTTATAAGGGATATTGCTTATTTCATTGTAATTTTCTTATACATAATAACTTTTTTTATGAAGTTGTTCTGCAGAGTAAAATTCTACGCAGTTTTTAAATTTAACGTTTCGTGTTTCCTTCAGCCATTTTTCCGGTACATTTAAAAGCCAGACGAAAGCTAGCAGCGAAGCTGCTAGTCAAAACATAAAATAAATAAAACAAAAGCAAATTCAAAATTTCGGCTTCAAAGTACACATGTTCGAGTGGAAGATTATGTATATTTAAAATTTGGCAGTTCTACGTACCGCCGTTTTCGACAATGCGCGAAACAAGCATAAACATAGTCAGAAATTATTTATTATTTAATAACTGATAAACAAAATTCTCTGAAATGCAGAAAACTTTGGTTTGGAGTAGCCGAGATACCAAACCAAACTAAGGAAAAGTGAAAAAAAAAGGGACCAAAATTTAGTCTGCTTCTTCCACTTAATTTTAAATTTCACACCGCCGTGTATTTCTATGGTTTAATATCGAATTTTCTTTCAGTATTATAAAATAAGAATATTATTTTTGAAAGAAAAATAATGATAAAGATTTTCATGTAAGAATACAGACGTAAACGTGATGTTCGGTAGTTGAAACTTATTACCAACAGGTTCTTTTTGTTCGTGAAATTCCTGGATACACGCCTCCCTACTGCTACACTTTAGTTCAATGTACTCAAGCGAAACTCCCTTACATCCGGATGCTTCAGTTTACCAGACATTTGATGCAGCAAC